AAATGATGGACCAGTCATAGTGACTCACACCTAGGATTTTGGGAGGCTGAGGCAGGTAGATTGCTTGAGCCCAGGAGTTTGAGATCAGCCTGGACAATAGTGACATGTCATCTCTGAGACAGACAGATAGATAGATAGATAAATAGATAGGTAGATAAAATGATGGCAAAAATGATTTCTAAGCCCTTCCACCTTTAACAGTCTATGACTTTTGTCAAAATCCAGAGTTTGGTAAAAATTTTCTGCTTTTGTTTTCCAGTGGAGAGGTCTTTAATTGCTATTATCAGGATATTTCCATTCCTCCCTTCCCCCCAAATTGCTGTTCTTTCTTTTCATCACCATCTGACTTTGATCATCTTTTCCGTGGTGCATGTCCCTGCCTGAGTCCAAACTGTTCAATCTTGCTTGTCTGCATTTCATAATCCTCAAGTCTTTTCTCCTGTCCTTACTGGGACCCAAGTACTCTGGGTTTAGTATTCCAAATGGTCCCTTGGCTGCTTACACTGCCGTCTGTCCTGCTATAAGTGCATTAAACATCACAAAAGATGCTTAACCAAGTGGAACAAAATGAGATGTTTGTGCTTGGAGAGGAAGCTCCTAACAGAGTGCAGCCTTTAAAGCAGGAAATTAAAATCTTGAGAGGGAATCTGAGATAGAACTCTTTGGCATGGCACAGAAAAAAGTTTTTGAGAAAATGCTGCAAACTGAATTAAACAGACAACCAAACCAAGAGCCCTATGAAATATAACCTTCTGTGAGGTCACCTGCATGGGTTTTGTCCTGAGTTTCTCTGCCAGGCCTAAAGACAAAGAATACTAAAGTAGGTCAGTAACAAGTTCTGGTGAGTTCCCCCAATGTACTGCCCAAGTACAAGCTTCTTCCTATGTGTTTTAATGATGAGAATGATATTAATGAGAGTTAACTATAATCTATACTTATGGTCCTCTTCCTTCATTCCAGTAAATTCCACCAGGAATCGATGAGAAGTATCGATGGGGAGTATCAATGGAAGAAATGCATAATCTATGCTAAATCAATTCTTCTATCTCATGATTAGTTCAGAGAAAATCATGTGCCATAAGCCAGTCTAATCATATCACATTTTGATACTTCTACTAGAAATTCCAATACACAAATTTTCCTTCTTGCTGTGAAGGATGTGGTGTGGACCTATGAGGCCTATAGCTCAGCTTTTTGCCTGCTGATAAAGTCAATGTATGAAAGAAGACAGAACTGAGATAATTGAAGAGAAATGGAGCTAGTGCCTTGATTGAACTGTGCCTGCAACTCCCCTACCAAGAAAATTTTAAAGTTCCTTGTATGAAAGCCAATGCATCATTGATTATTTAAGCCAATAGGAGTTGTTTCTTTTCTTTTTTTTTACTTAGAATTTAAACTGTCATAACTAAGATATTTATAGATTACAATTTTAGTTATCAAAGCACTCTCTCAGTTGATGACAATTGTGCCTAACAATTCCAAGATGGAAAGTGTTGTCACCTCCATTTTATTTACTTAATTCCATGTCTTCTGACTCCTGCTGAGTCTTTCTCATAGCATGACCTATGGTAAAATGACATTCATTCCAGTGAATTCTTATGGAGGCAATATGTGACATTTTATTGCCTACCTCATAGCAATTCCCCACCCCAACGTCTTTTTTTAAAAAAAATAAAGCACACCTTTTCATTTTCTAGCTTCCTTTGCAGCTAAAGGTGGCCTCATGATTAAGTTCTGGTCAGTTAAACTTAGGTGAAGGTGAATTCCCTTAGAAAGATGCTTCAAAGCTACTTCAGGGAAAAGTCAGTCTTTTTCTCTTCTCTCTCTCTCTCTCTCTCTCTCTCTCTCTGTGTGTGTGTGTGTGTGTGTGTGTGTCTCCATTGTCTCCACCATCCTATTTTTGAATAATGCCATGATTCTGGGGGGCTATGGCAGTCATCTATGGCAGCATGAAGATGTAGGCAAGCTTGCCAAGGATGGTGAAGAGAAAGAATGGAAAAGTCTGGTCCATGATGACACCATGGAGCAGTTGAACCAACACCAACAATCCACTTCCTCCAGAATCCTAGTCATGTGAAAAAACATAAAATTTGGTTAAGCCACAACTAAGGAATCCAATATTCATAGCCCAGACATTTCTAACTCATACATATTGGTGTCTGGCAAAATAAGCCAAATTTCCTTCAAAGATGATGGATATATTCAAGTCAAAGCACATGAGGCTATAAATTTGGTGAAAAATTGGCCCCCCAAATGGTGTTCTTCTCATGTGTGTCCTATCTTACTGGGGATCCTTGAACCTACAGCGGTCTCTGTGATCAACACTATACACTTTTCTTTTTCAAAGGAAGTTCTTGGGTATAATCAAGTGATTACTAGAGCAACTACTCGAAGTGCACCATTGTTAGCACAAATTAGTGAGAGTAACACTTTGCTCTTCCTGAGACACGTGGATTTATATATTCATAGCCCACATTTTAAGGTATCAAAGTGCTCTTTTCTCTCATTAAGGTCCCTCATTTTCCTTTAAGGAAAGACAGGAAAACATTTAAGACTAAGAAAAGTAGACTGGAGTAGGATAAAGACCTGGTCCTCTGAACTAGAAATTTCTACTATGTTAACAGGTCATCTGTTAATGATGACTACTTAAGTCATATTCTATCTTTCATTGAAACAGACCCTCGACGGACAATTGGGGAAAGTGACACAGAGATATGAAGTTGCATAGGCCTTGAAGCATGTTGGTAAGAACAAAAAAAGACCCAAAAGCCCATTCCCATACTCTGCTCTCCCAAATTTTCTTTATGAGAATATAGACTTTTTTAAAAAAGGCTGTGCTCTTGATCACTGAACACCAACATCCAATAACCTTTTGAACAGAGGACACTGTCACTTTTATGGGGAAGACTAAGAACTGCACCAGAACTCTTCTCGTGGAAGAAAACCCATAGGTAGTCTGTTTTGTGAAGGCCTTTGGCAAGGTTTCCTGTGACTCTTTGTAGTCTCAGCTGTTCTTCTAAGCTCAGCAGTAGACTAGGGACATCATCTATACCGTCTGGTGTGGCTGAGAGGAGATGTCATAGATTTCTAGTGTGGAAAATTCACAATATACATCTTCTAAACCAGTGTATACAGAGGTTTTCTGATATGGTCCAATCCAGAGTCCTGGAAGTAATCACAAATGGATAACCAATGAGTACCCCAAGTGGCTTTGTTATAGATACCAAAAGCTTGGGTTTAGTTTGGAGGGAATCAAAATGCTCATTAGAGCAAAGGTCTACTGCCTGCTCTAATGCTCATTAGAGCAAAGGTCTACTGTCTTTCTGACATTCATCCTTCTGGAGGACTTAAGAATTCTTGTAATGTGTAGTATGGACAAAGACATTTTAGGGGGGGGTACTCTGAATCACTGACCAATCCCTACTGACTTGTAGCACCCAAAGTGCTTCACTCTTGAACAGAAATATCACACATTTCTAACTTTTATTCAGTCTCATTATTATTGGATGTAAAATAATAAATAGTTCACTCCCTGCTCCTCCCAAAAGTCTGCCTATAACAATATAGATGCAGATGGTATAAGTAGGAATTGCTCATATAATGCATATATTAGAGAGTTAGATTCATTTTCTCATTCATGTATCAAATATTTATTTAACACATGTTATGTGCTAGGGAATATGTTTAGACGGCAGGAAATGAAGAACAAAGGTTTAGCCTCTGACTTCAAGGATAACTCAGTCTAATTGGATTGACAGAAAAGTCAAAATAATTACAAGACCCTTCACTATTATGATTATTCTAACTGGGAGAGATAAATACATAACCCCCACCCCCTCCCCCAAGTATTTCCTTAGCCTTAAGATCGCTCTCAATCAGCCTAGTTCTTTTTCTTCTTTTCTTCTCTTTCTCTGTTTTCTTTCTTTATGTCTCCCCTTTGAGGTCATAAGTCTAATTTTAATTCCCAGTCATTTTTTTAATGCAGGTACAAGCATAGGCAGTCTATGTTCAAGGTTTTTGCTCTTCTGTGATATGTCATACTTAATTAACTGTTACCTTCACTATTAATATTAACTGAGATATTAATTTGATGAATCTTAATTTCTCTTAATCATAGCATCATTTTGATTCTTCATTGGATACCTCTTTAGAATGACACAGAGTTCAGAGGAGAAATATTAACAAGATACTAAGGTTGTTTTTTGAAAAAATTTCCTGGTAAGAGTATCTGTTGCTTGAACAGATGTAACACCTTGATTTCCTTGTTAGCAAATGGATATTTTGTGTTGATCTCCCCCTGACTCTGTTTTGCACTTTTAAATAACAATACTTTCAAATTTAAGAAATGTTTCTCCCCCCCCAAAGAATTCTCTGGGGTCTGCTGCATTATCTGACTGCCAAAGGCTCTGTACTATTAAAGGAGGGATGGAAAATACACATTTGAAGGTTTCGTCTGTTCCTTCTGTAGCTGAGTCTATGGAGAGCTGGTACCCAGGAGGAAAGAGCCAAGATGGAGGGCAACAAAATCATCAAAAGAAGACTGATCTATTTGCAGATCATTCTTCCTATCTTTCCTTCTCATTCACTAAAAAAAGATTTTTTTCCTGTAATTATTTTCTCCCCCTGGCCTTGCATCCTTCTCACACTCACACACATATTCACACATTGAGCACTGATGGAGACACCTTCTGGACTGCTTCATCCAACCCATCTTGTCATTGAGACATGACTGGCACAGAGAGTAAACTTGATGCCTTTTCAGGAAGTGTTTCATCACTCAAGTCCACTCATCTGGATATTGTAGACTGAAAACCAGAATCATTCCCAGCTCCCTGGTTCTGATGTGGACAATTTCAGGAAAGAAAGAATGACTAGGAGCTCTCCTTTCTGCCTCAGTACCTGGACCACTTGGGGAGTATTTTGAGCCCCAAAGACCAGGAGCTCGGTGCAGACAAAGACAAGCGTGGTCATATGGAGAGTATGTGCTTGAGCCCACTCACCTCCAGGTACACCACCCAAGGCATCACCAAGGTGGCCACCAACAAGTCTGCCACGGCCAAGCTCACCACCAAGTAGTTGGTGGTGGTCTGCAGGGCTCGCTCCCTCAGCACAGCCACGCACACCAGGCCGTTGCCGAAGATGATAGCCAGGATGAGTGCACAGTAGGAGAGGGCATAGTAGGCATGTGGGCGAGCCCAGCTGACACCTGTGGAATTCTCCGCCCAGCAGGTATAGTTCAGGTGGCCACTCAGTTGGCTCAGAGGTGCCATAGCCCAGAGGGAAGAGTGTGACCCCAAGGGGTTTCCTGGGAGGAAACAGAAAACAATACTGGTAAAAATCAGACTCTTTGGAGCTTGGCTATTTGGATACATTTTTTAATTTATTGAATCAACAAATATTCACGAGCACTTTCTATGTAATTAACGGGTATTGTTGTGAGAGCTACAGACACAGCAATGAACAAAACAGATAAAAATTCCTCCCTTCATAAAGTTTCCATTCAAGAGGAGAAGACAGATAATAAACAAGATACATGAAAGATGTGGTATGTTCAATGATGATGTATACTTTGGAGAAAAGTGTATCGGGGGGAAGTAAGTAGTGGGTGAGGATTTTGTGTATGTGAGTACATGTCTGAGAGTAATTGGGAAGCTCTCACGGAGAAATTGGCATTGAGTCAAGACTGAAGAAGGCAGGGGAACTGACCATGCAGATGTCTGGTGGGAGGGTGGTCCAAACAGTGGGAACAGCAGGTACCAGGAGGAAAGACTAGCATGTAGAAGGGCTGGCATGTGGAAGAGATAGTAGGGAGACCAGTGTGGCTGCAGCCCAGTGAGGCAGGGCTAGAGCAGGAGGTCATGAAGTGGAGAGGTTGTGCAGGGCTGTTCTTGGTTTCTGAGTGAGATGGGAAACTGTGGCAGGATTGGAATTCCAGTCATGCTACCTCCCAATGCTGGGACCTTGTGCATATCACTTGATCTCTCCCGAGCTCCAGGTTCCTCTTTTTTCTTTTTAATCAATGTTTTTTATTATGATGTTGTGGGGTACAGTTAAGGGTTAGGTATACAAATATGCTTCATTTAGGCCCCTTTGTTGATAGCAGGTGTCTCCCCATCCCCAGACAGATGTTTACTACCGTTAGTCCCATTCCCCTTCCCCTCCCCTCATAGTTTCCACTATCAGTCATTTTCTTATGGTAGTACATTGGATGATCAAGGTCCACTATATGAGTG